CACTAGTTTCTGGTTTATTTCATTCGAACGAGAAAACCATTATTGCCACATTTGATAATTTCAAGATTCAAAATTCCGACTGATTGTCAAAATTTTGAAAAAGTGATTGGAATTTTTGAAAAAATGTGGCCGAAAATGACTCCTGTCTCCCGAAATAAATAAAAAAATGTCTTTGGAAATTTTTTTAAACTACTCAAAAAAATTCCAAATTTTCAGCTTCAAAATCGAAATTTTAAATTATCTCAAAAATGACCAGATTTCATTTCGATGATTCTGGAAAAGTGATAGGAATTTTCGAAAAAATGTGCCCGAAAATGGCTCATGTTTCCCGAAATAAACAAAAAACTGTCTTTGGATAATTTTTGAAAGTGGTCGGAAAAATGTCAAAAATTTCATATGGACATTGAAAAATTGAGCTTTTGACAAAGTTGCTTATAAATCCACAAAAAATTCTGGAATATAGATTCCTACAAGCTGATTTCAAAAACATAGCCCTTGATGCTCCCAAACCATGATTTTCGAAATTTTCAATTTCAAAATGGAATTTATAAAATAATCCCAAAAATAGCCAGATTTCATTTCGGAAAAGTGGTTGTAATTATCGAAAAAACGTGGCCAAAAATGGCTCATGTTTCCCGAAATAAATAAAAAAATGTCTTTGAATAATTTTCGAAAGTTCTCAGAAAAATGTAAAAAATTTCATAACGAGATTGAAAAATTGAGCTTTTGAGAAACTTTTTGCTTAAAAATCCATAAAAAATTCTGGAATATAGATTCCGACAAGCCGATTTCAAAAATATAGTCTTTGATAGTCCCAGATCACAATTTTCGAAATTTTCAATATCAAAATAAAATTTTTAAATTATCCCTAAAACGATGATTCCGGAAAAGTAGTTGTAATTTTCGAAAAAACGTGACCAAAAATGGCTCAAGTTTCCCGAAATAAATAAAAAAATGTGTTTGGATAATTTTCGGAAGTTCTCGGAAATATGTAAAAAATTTCATAGAGATTGAAAAATTGAGCTTTTGACAAACTTTTTGCTAAAAAATCCACAAATAATTCTGAAATATAGATTCCGACAAGTTGATGTCGAAAACATGGCCTTTGATAGTTCCAAACCACGATTTTCGAAATTTTCAATTTCAAAATGAAATTTTTAAGTTATCCCAAAAATGACCTGATTTCATTTCGATGATTCTGGAAAAGTGGTTGTAATTTTCGTAAAAGCGTGCCGAAAATGGCTCTAGTTTCCCGAAATAAATAAAAAAATGTCTTTGGATAATTTTCGAAAGTTCTCGGAAAAATGTAAAAAATTTCATAATGAGATTGAAAAATTGAGCTTTTGACAAACTTTTTACTTCAAAATCCACAAAAAGTTCCGACAAGCTGATTTCAAAAACACAGCCTTGATGGTCCCAAACCACGATTTTCGAAATTTTTAATTTCAAAATGAAATTTTTAAATTATCCCAAAAATGACCTGAATTCATTTCGATGATTCTGGAAAAGTGGTTGCAATTTTCGGAAAAACGTGGCCGAAAATGGCTCTAGTTTCCCCAAATAAATAAAAAAAATGTCTTTGGATAATTTTCGAAAGTTCTTGGAACAATGTAAAAAATTTCATAGAGATTGATAAATTGAGCTTTTGACAAACTTTTAGCATGAAAATCCAGAGAAAATTCTGGACTATAGATTCCGACAAGCTGATTTCAAAATTATAGTGTTTGATAGTCCCAAACCACGATTTTCGGAATATTCAATTTCAAAATGAAATTTTTAAATTATCCCAAAAACCACCAGATTTCATTTTAATAATTCTGGAAAAATGGTTGGAATTTTCGAAAAATTGTGGTCGAAAATGGCTCATGTTTCCCAAAATAAACAAAAAAATATCTTTGCATAATTCTTTAAAGTGGTCGGAAAAATGTCAAAAATTTCATAAGGAGATTGAAAAATTGAGCTTTTAACAAAGTTCCTTAAAAATGCTGGAAAAATTCTGGGACATAGATTTTGACAAACTGATACAAAATACGTGGTCTATGATGACCTTAGACCAAGATTTTCGAAATTTATAGTTACAAAATCAAGGTCGTCGGAAAAAAGTCAAAATTTTATTAAAAGGTTGAGCTTCTAAAAAATTTTGCTAAAAATCCAGTAAAAATTCTGGGATATAGGACTTGACATGCTGATTGGAAAAATGTTTCGTGTTTATGGTCCTAGACTAAAATATTCTAAATATTCAGACTCAAAATCAAATTTTTAAATTATATCAAAATGGGAATTCATTTTGGTGATCCCAGAAAAATAGTTGAAATTTTCGAAGAAATGTGGCCGAAAATGACTTCTGCAACTCGAAATGAACAAAAAATGTCTTTGGGTAATTTTCGAAAGTGCTTGGGAAAAAGTAAAAAATTTCATAAGTGTAGTGAAAAATTGGACTTTTGACAAATTTATGGGCTTAAAAATCCACTAAAAATTCTGGAATTCCAACAATCTGATTTCAAAAACATATCATTTGATGGTCCCAAACCACGATTTTCGAAATTTTCAATTTCAAAATGAAATTTTTAAATTATCCAAAAAATGGCCAGATTTCATTTTAATAATTCTATAAAAATGGTTGGAACTTTAGGAAAAATGTGGTCGAAAATGGCTTATGTTTTCCGAAATAAACAAAAAAATGTCTTTGGACAATTTTTGAAAATGGTCGGAAAAATGTCAAAAAATTTATAAATAGATTGAGCTTTTGACAAACTTTTTGCTTAAAAATCCACGAAAAATTCTGGGATATAGATTTCGATAAACTGACTTCGAAAACATTGCTTTTGATGGTCCCAAACCAAAATTTTGAATTTCAAATTCAAGGTCAGGAAAAAAAGTCGAAATTTTATTAAAAAATCGAGCTTTTAAAAAATGTGGTTGAAAATAGAAAAAATTTCAAAAAAGGTGCCGGAAAATGACTTCTGCAATCCGAAATAAACAAAAAAATGTGTTTTGAATAATTTTCGAAAGTGCTCGGAAATAGATCAAAAGTTTCAGAAGAATATAGAAAAATTGGGCTTTTGACAAAGTTGCTTAAAACCATGAAAAAATCTGGGAAAAAATTTTTGACGAACTGATTCAAAAAACATAGCGGTGATGGCCCCAGACAAAGATTTTCGAAATTTTCAGTTAAAAATCAAGGTCGTCGAAAAAATGTCAAAAATTAAAAAAAAATCGAGCTTTTAAAAAATTTAGCGAAAAATCCATGAAGAAATTTGTGATATAGAACTTGATGTGCTGATTCGAAAAATTTTGCGTGTTTATGGTCCTAGATCAACATTTTCCAAATTTTCAGTATCAAAATCAAATTTTTAAATTACTCCAAAAATTACCATATTTTTTGATTGAAATTTTCGAAAAATGTGGCTGAAAATGACTTCCCAATCTGAAATCAACAAAAAATAATGGGCAACTTTCAACAGTGCTGGAAAAAATAAAAATACTCTATTCGAAAATTTTTTTTTTTTTAATTCTTTGGGTAGCTTTCGAAGATGGTTGAAAATAGCTCGAAATTTTCAAAATGAATACCGATCAAAAGTGATTTAAAAATTCATGAAAAATTTTGGAATGTAGGTATTGAAGCACCAATTCGAAAAATATAGTGTAAATTTTTCAAAAAATTTGAAGAATTTCGAAATTTTATTTGACGATTTTACAAAAATGATGGCAGGTTTCGAAAAAATGGGGCAGAAAATAATTTCTTGAAGTCGAAATGTACAAAAAAATCTCTAAGTAATTTTCGAAAATGATCGAAAAAAAGTCAAAATTTCATACCGGGTAAGAACTGAAAATTTGCCCTTTTGAAAAAAAATTCTGGGATGTAGATCTTGACGTACTGATCCGAAAAATATAAAAAATGTGTTTAGCGTCCACAAAAATTTTAGAAATATTCCGTTTGAAAGTAAATTTTTCGAAAAATTTGAAGAACTTCGAAATTTCGTACAAGAAATCGAAATCTACAATAAAATCTCTTTCAGTAATTTTCTAAGATGTTCCAGAAAACATCGAAATTTTCATAACTGAGCTTTTGAAAAAGTTGTTTAAAAAATCATTTTAGAAATATTCGGTTTGAATGTAAATTTTTCGAAAAAATTAAAAGATCCCCAAACTTTGTTTTGACGATTCTGGAGAGATGGTAGGAATTTTCGACGAAATAAGGCCGAAAGTAATTTCTGAAATTCGAAATCTACAACAAAATCTGTTTATCTGTTTCGGCAATTTTTGAAAATGGTCGAAAAAAGCTTGACATTTTCAAAAAGGTTTTGAAAATTGGTTTAAAAATCCACGAAAAATTTAGGGATATAAATTTCGACAAACTGATCAAGATTTTCGAAATTTTCAGCTTTAAAATGAAAGAGTTTTTCAATTATCCAAGTTGTTTTATTATGTGTAAAATGTGAAGAAAAACCAAGTTCTAATTTTAAGATCTTTAACAGTTTGGGAAAAAATTATTGTAGAAAATAGAAAAAAGATCATAGGTGAAAGATTTCCGAATCTCGAAGACACAGAACATTTAACTTTTAGCCTTGAAAAGAATGGTAAAAATTTTGGGATTTTCATTAGAAAAATGAACTTTAAAATCAGACATCTCAACTTACTTGGCTAAAAGTTGAAAACTGTGGAAATGGTTTGAACGTAGCCAGAGTACCTAAAACTTAAAACCAGACTGCTATTAAGTTGCCAATCTAACTCAGTATATAAACCAACTTAAAACCGACTAAGTTAAACCTGGCATAAGCTAAACCGTCCCTTCGGCCCCTCTTAATATCCCCACTTCGCACACCTGTATAAATTGCGAATCTGGCCCGAGATAATCCGGTTCTGGAAAGACGTGCACTTTGCACAGAGGATGCTTCGTGCACTCCGCTAATCTAGCAAAAGCCCTTGCATTATGTATGACTACTTACAAGCACTCTCCTTTATATACAGGTCCGTATTTAGCATGTTTACGTCCCCCATTGTCAAAATAATTAGCTCCGGAATTGAGGCCATCGGCTTTGCACGTGCCTCTTCAGATTACATAACATCAGAAATTCTGACTGGGAATAATCCACCTACTATAAATGTTTTGTACGAAACAAAGCAAAAATACGATTTGTGTACACAGTCCCATGGTTTATCTTTTGTATAGGTCGCGTTATCAGTGTAATTCCAGGTCTCAGTGTGTTGTTTAGAGTCGAAATGACCAAAAATTGGTGCGATCGCTGTGTCAAGTTGGTCGTGTACTACGTGATTTTTTCCAATATCGTAAGTTAGTTCGTAGAGTTTGCTCAAATGATAATCGAGTGTTTTCAAGTTGTTGCCTATGTTGCTGTTGTTCATCAATGACCCGAATTCCTGCATTTCCTTCTCGGATATATTGACTTCGATCGTGTGGATCGTCAGCGGGATTCTCTTACTGATCGGTACTCTCCAGGTCAATTAACTTCTCTGGTGTGCTTGCGTACTGAAAGTGCTTTCTAGGGCAAGGAAAAGTACATACGGATCTACGTCATGTTGACGACGGTGTGTTTGCTCGTGGGGCCTGTTTATTGGGCTGTGTACCCTGGAGATGGAGTTTTCTGTGAGAAACGAAACACCATTACCATGATTCTTCTCGTTCTGTATTTTATTATGATGTGGCCTTTTCAGTACTGTATCTACTTGTTTTATAAACAAGTGGCCAAAGTTAACGAACCCGCTGATTTACACACCCCCACACAAAGCAACGAAGACAGCCCTCTACAAACACCAAAAAACGACCGCCGGGGGCAGAAAGAGGTCGTTTAAATGTAGTAGGTAACGCTAGCTGAGTTATTTTTATGTTAATTACCCGTACTGCTTCAGGTGTTGGAAATAAAGTATATTTCAAGTCACCGATGTTTTCAGTTGACACCTCTTGCTTTTCCGCAGGAATGGGACTCGAGGTACAAATTTTAAGATTCGAAGAGGCTTTCCTAAAGCGACTAACAGAATGCGTCCATTGGGTGTTTTTCTTGCTAGGTTAATGTATTCCTGGAAATCATGTGACGTGCCACGATCAGAATGTGCGGATTTATGATTTTCTTATCTGTCCATTGTGTTTAATCTATCAAATAATTCGGTCATTTGCAGACAGTTGTTATGAATTGTGGTATGACGTGCGTGTGTAAGCAGAATTGTTCTGGGGTGAGCCAAGGTTGATCGTTTGCACCTTGGTTTTTTTCGTTGTTCGTCAACGACGTTATTATTTATATTTTCAGTCAACTGCAAACAAAGCAGAACGTTTGACGTTTTACTTTAAACACATATTTGTGTAATTTGTTAAATAAATTGTGATTTTTTTGCTAAGTTTATTTGTTTGGAATAATCCTTAGTTGTTTAGAATGTAATAAAATGAAGAGAAATTGTTAATTTTCGCGTCCGTTCAGGTCGACTCTTTTAGGGTTGTCCCAGTAAATCCCCGTTTTAATCGAGCTCATCTAAATCGCGTTCTGCTGAACCGAAATAAATGTAAAATAAGATCTCCGCTGCACTTTATCTGAAAATGGTTTTCCTGTCGTGTTTACCGAGCCACGATCCTCCCAATTACAGATAGCCTCCAATAAATCATCTGTTATTGTGCAAAGAAAGCTCCCAATAATAAAGTCGCAATTTGATTTCTCTGCATCCCGCCCATTAGAGTATTTTAAAAGTTTTTCCGAGTAGAGAAAACCGGCAGCGGAAACGACACTGACTAAACTAATGCAATAAGTAAAGCCATTTATGTGAGAGCAAACCGAGATCTTCGCCGATCCAAAATGGAGCCTTTTATGCCGAACCTCGCCTTTCACCGACTCAGGAAAAATAATTAATTTGGAAGAGGAAATGCTGCGAAGTAGCGTGTTATAATTAAAATCTTGGACGAAAATAGGAAAAAAAGAGGGACGACAAAACAGAGTGACTGTTTCTAATTACGGTGATGACTCTCGGCACCGGTAACAAGTCCTTTGTTTAGGTGCAGGTGTACGTGTGTTCATTATTCCCGCATCTCCCTTACACTTGTCAGTAATTTAGCCGATATCCCCTTTCCTCCCGCCTCCTCGGGGGGATTACTTGAGAAGGATGTTAATTAAAGTGGAGGACGACGCGCGAAACTCAACCGGAGCGTCGGCCCGCAAAACTACGACCGTTATTTATATATCAACTCAACACTTTGAAGAGGAAATTGTCAATTTAAGAAACGCCGGCCTGCGAGGGCACGGCCCCTCGCTACGCAGCCGAACTTCCAGAACAACTCGATGCGAGATTTTCGACTTACTCGAAGAGGTGCCCACAATATGAACACCTATGACGGTCATGGTTTAACGCGTCGTCCCAGTGGGACGGAGATTTAAACAAATTAAAAGCGTTGTATCAGGGCAGCGAGCAGGCCGGTTCTTTATTTAAGGACGCCGTTTCTATTGGCCGCCGGAATTGCTCCACAAATGAGGCGAAAAATAAGCTGTTTTCGGGGGTGAGTCGGTGGTCCCCGCTCGGGGATGATGGCGTAGGGCGAGCAACGGCACTTTTAATGCCTTTCAGCCAATTGCAATCTAATCCAAAACCTTTCAAAAGCAATCGCGAGAATCTTAAAAAGCAATTGAAGCCAAGTATCGAAGTTAATCGAATAGTGCAGTCCCGCGGCCGACTTCCAGCCTTTGACTGCCGACCCCTCTTTCCTCCCCTCATTTTTACCGATTTTCTGTTTGATCAGAACGAAACGAGTTGTGTAATTGCTTCGCATTCGAGGAATACTCATCCTTGGAGGAAAAAGGCAGGGCTATTGTAGACTAAAGGAGGCGATAATCGGAAGGGGGTGCGAGGGTTTAACACTATGTTATGTAAATAACGTGAGTGCACATGAGGTGGGGGCTAAAAAGGGACATCGTTTCTTGAAGCCTTTTTGCAGAAGTCGAAAACTTACTGAAGTACTGCCTGTTTCTTCTTTCCTGCAGCAATAGAATTTTACATTAAGATAAAAATCTTCCATGCGTTTACTAAAAAGTACTTGCAGGAAAAAATGAAGATCTTTGTACCTTACATCCTGCATTAAAAATGGATGCAGAAGCGATTCCTGCAACGACGTCTCCATCACAAGCATCAAAAATCGCTTCAGCAGGGATCTGAATAAAATTCGTCTTCTTCATGCCACGCAGTTTCTTGCAACGACTATTTGAAGCATGCAGGCCAAAAATGAAAGGCTTTTCCTGCGCCAGCCACCTGCAGCAGGACCTCCTCGACCCGGCCAACAGCATCGATATTGTTTTTCAGTTCAGTTTTGGGATTTTTCAGTTTTTTAATTCTTCAATTTTTCTTCGATTTTTCAATTTTGGGATTTTTGAATTTCTCGGTTTTTCAATTCCTCGATGTTTCAAATTTTCGATTTGTCGGTTTTTTTATTTTTCGATTTTTCAATTTTCGCATATTTAAGTTTCACGACTTTCGCATTTTGCAATTTCTCTATTTTTCGATTTTTTAGTTTTCCGATTTCTACATTTTTGATTTCCCAGTTTCTCGATTTTTCAACTTTTCCATTTCTGGAATTATCGACTTGACGGTTTTTCAACTTTTCCATTTCTGGATTTTTCAATTTTTCGGTTTGTCAATTTCTCGATATTCAGTTTTGGGACTTTTCGATATTTCGATACTTCAATTTTTCGTTACTCTGTTTCGATTACTCGTTGTTTTGATGTTTCGATTTCAGTCTTTAGATTTCTTGAATGTGTTTGGGAGTTTTAAACTTTTCGATTTCTCGATCTTTCGACTTTTAGATTTTTCGATCTTTTGATTTTCAAATTTCTGAATTTTTCGTCTTCTCGATCACTCGATTTTTCAGTTTTTCAATATTTTTCGATTTTTCTGGTTTTTGATTTTACAGTTCTTAAAATTTTCGGTTTTACAATTTTTCGATTTTTCAATTTTTTGCGTTTCTGAATTCTTGATTTTTTGACTTTTAGATTTTGCCATTTTTTGATATTCCCATTTCTCGATTAATAGACCTCAATTCTCAATTTTTCAGTATTTTAGTTTTGGGATTTTTAAATTTCTCGGTTTTTCAATTCCTCGATGTTTCGAATTTTCGATTTGTCGATTTTTTATTTTTCGATTTCTCAATTTTCGGATATTTAAGTTTCATGACTTTCGCATTTTGCGATTTCTCCATTAATTAAATTCCCGATTTTTCGATTTTTTTTGGTTTCCGATTTTTCCATTTTTGATTTCCCAGTTTCTCAATTTTTCAACTTTTCTGTTTTTAGATTTTTCATTTTAAAATTTTTCAAGTTTTATAATTTCTGGAATTTTCGACTTGACGGTTTTTCAACTTTTCCATTTCTGGATTTTTCAATTTCTCGATATTCAGTTTTGGGACTTTTCTATATTTTGATACTTCAATTTTTCGTTTCTCTGTTTCGATTACTCGTTTTATTGATGTTTCGATTTCGGTTTTTACATTTCCTGACTGTGTTTGGGAGTTTTAAACTTTTCAATTTCTCGATCTTTCGACTTTTAGATTTTTCGATCTTTTGATTTTCAGATTTCTGAATTTTTCGGCTTCTGGGTCACTGGATTTTTCAGTTTTTCAATATTTTTCGATTTTCCAGGTTTTTGATTTTACAGTTCTTAAAATTTTCGGTTTTACAATTTTTCGATTTTTCAATTTTTGGCGTTTCTGAATTCTTGATTTTTTGACTTTTAGATTTTGCCATTTTTTGATATTCCCATTTCTCGATTAATAGACCTCAATTCTCAATTTTTCAGTATTTTAGTTTTGGGATTTTTGAATTTCTCGGTTTTTCAATTCCTCGATGTTTCGAATTTTCGATTTGTCGATTTTTTATTTTTCGATTTCTCAATTTTCCGATATTTAAGTTTCATGACTTTCGCATTTTGCGATTTCTCCATTAATTAAATTCCCGATTTTTCGATTTTTTTTGGATTCCGATTTTTCCATTTTTGATTTCCCAGTTTCTCAATTTTTCAACTTTTCTGTTTTTAGATTTTTCATTTTAAAATTTTTCAAGTTTTATAATTTCTGGAATTTTCGACTTGACGGTTTTTCAACTTTTCCATTTCTGGATTTTTCAATTTTTCGGTTTATCAATTTCTCGATACTCAGTTTTGGGACTTTTCGATATTTTGATACTTCAATTTTTCGTTACTCTGTTTCGATTACTCGTTTTTTCGATTTCGGGTTTTAGATTTCTTGACTGTGTTTGGGAGTTTTAAACTTTCCGATTTCTCGATCTTTCGACTTTTAGATTTTTCGTTCTTTTGATTTTCAGTTTTCTGAATTTTTCGATTTCTCGATCACTCGATTTTTCAGTTTTTCAATATTTTTCGATTTTTCAGGTTTTTGATTTTACAGTTCTTAAAATTTTCGGTCTTACAATTTTTCGATTTTTCAATTTTTGGCGTTTCTGAATTCTTGATTTTTTGACTTTTAGATTTTGCCATTTTTTGATATTCCAATTTCTCGATTAATCGACCTCTCGATTTCTCGATTTTTCAATTGTTCGATTTATCAGTCAATTTTTTGACATTCTTTTCGATTTTCTGATGTTTCGATTTGCCGATTTTTCAATTTTTTTATATTTTATTTTTCGATTTTTATATTTGCAGGAAAAAATAAAGGTTTTTGTTCCTTACATCCTGCATTAAAAATGAATGCAGAAGCGATTCCTGCAACGCCGTCTTCAGCAGGACCACTACTTCATCACAAGCGTCAAAAATCGCTTGAGCAGGAATCTTAATAAAATTCGTCTTCTGCATACCAGGCAATTTCCTGCAACAACTGTGTGAAGCTTGCAGGCCAGAAATCCTGCTGCCGTCTTCAGCACACACAAAACTCAAAGGCTTTTCCTGCGCCAGCCACCTGCAGCAGGACCTTCTCGATATTGATTTTCAATTCAGTTTTGGGATTTTTCAGTTTTTTAACTCTTCAATTTTTCTTCGATTTTTCAATTTTTCGGTATTTTAGTTTTGAGATTTTTGAATTTTTCGGTTTTTCAATTCCTCGATGTTTAAAATTTTCGATTTGTCGGTTTTTTTATTTTTCGATTTCTCAATTTTGCCATATTTAGGTTTCACGACTTTCGCATTTTGCGATTTCTCCATTAATTAAATTCCCGATTTTTCGATTTTTTAGGTTTCCGATTTCTCCATTTTTGATTTCCCAGTTTCTCAATTTTTCAACTACTCTGTTTTTTAGATAAAATTTTTCGAGTTTTTCATTTCTCAAATTTTCGACTTGACGAATTTTCAACTTTTCCATTTCTGGATTTTTCAATTTTTCGTTACTTTGTTTCGATTACTGGTTTTTTTGATGTTTC